GTGCCGGCAGAAGCCCCTAGGGTAGACACAGCTGTGCCGGCAGAAGCTGCACTTTTACTGGCATAGCTTGTTTCATGTGGGGCATTGGAATAAGCAGTACCAATTGAAGTGCAGCTTTGCTGATACAAGCTGCATCCACTCCAGAAGTGCTTAGCTTATACCATAGACAGGTGTCACTCTACCAGTGAAGTGCTCCTAGTCAAGGCACTGCCTCAGCATTTTCATAGCAATTCACCTGGGCTTGCCCATATTCTCAGTTTGGATTCTGTTAGGAAATGCTTCTGAATTTCCCTTATGGTCACACGAGTCCCCCATGACCACTGCATAGGTCCTAATGTGGGGCAGAGCTAGTCCTGAATGCCAGACACCACCAAGCCTCTTGTCACAAGCAAGAGGGCCATTGGTCTCCCCTGGCCTTTCCCGAATTCTTTTCTCCCCCCCAAGAACTCACAATAAAGGCACCCTGCTACCCCTGGTTTCTGCCAACAGCTCTGTCCATGTTCCAGCCAGGCCCACAGGCTCTGCTTCCCAGGAGTGGGAATGCCCCTCTGACCAGAGCTCTGCTGGAGAAGCAGTGAGGCATGGGGGACAGAGTATCTTCTCTGTGCAGGGTGTCACTGAAGTATCAAAGACAGGGCAAACCCCAGAGCCGGGAGGCCAGGCCAGATGTACAGGGGAGAACAGGCTTAACAATGGTTCTCCTACCCCAACGCTGCCCTCCCCAGGCTCACGCTTGCTGTGCACCCTCCTGCCCACGTCACAGCCCCTCAAAATTCTCCCCTCTCCCATCCCTCGCACAGAGGAGCCAGTTAGGATACCTAACTTTCTAATCACAGAAAACTGAACACCCTTGTCCGCCCCCTGCCCCAAGGCCCCACCTCTGCCCTATCCCTTCTCCGAGGCCTCACCCCCACTCACTCCAACCCCCCTCCCTCCGTCACTCGCTCTCCCACCCTCACTCACTCATTTTCATCGGACTGGGGATGGGATGTGAGAGGGGTTGTGGGCTCTCGGGTGGGGCCGGGGACAAGGGACTTGGGGTGCAGGAGGGGGCTCCAGGCTGGAAACAAGGGGTTTGGAGTGTGGGAGAAGGCTCTGGCGTGAGGCAGTGGGTTGAGGTGCGGTAGGGCGTGAGGGCTCCGGCTGGGGGTGCAGGCTCTGGGGAGGGGACAGGGATGATCGGTTTGAGATGCAGGAGGGGGCTCTGGGCTTGGGGGTGGGGCCGAGGGATTTGGAGTTTGGGAGGGGGCTCCAGGCTGAGACAGGGGGCTGGGGTATGGAAAGAGATATGGGCTCTGGGCTGGGAGTGCAGGCTCCAGGTGGGGCCAGAAATGAGGGGTTCAGGGCACAGGAGGGGGCTCTGGGCTGGGGGTTGGGGCCGAGGGTTGAGGGTGGGGATGGAATTTGGGAGGGGGCTCTGGGCTGGGACAGAGGGTTGGGTTGTGGGAAGGGGTATGGGCTCAGGGCTGGGGTACTGGCTCTGGGGTGGGGCCAGAAATGAGGGGTTCAGAGTGAGGGGGGGCTCCAGGCTTGGGTGAGGGAGGGTGTTGGGGCGCAGGCTCCGGGTGGTGCTTACCTCAGGTGGCTCCCAGAAGTGACTGGCATGTCCCTCTGGGAGCTGCGCAGAGCCGAGCAGGGAGCCTGCCAGCCCCGCTGCACCGGCAGTGCTGCCAACCAGACTTTTAATGGCCTGATCAGTGGTGCTGACCAGAGCTGCCAGGGTCCCTTTTTGACCGGGCGTTCCGGTTAAAAACCAGACACCTGGCAACCCTAGAGCCAGTTCTGCTGCCAGGGGATCCTGCACAGCCCCGGAAGTGGGGCTGGATTTGCCCCATGAGGCCCTCTGGCCACCACCACTGCCGCCAGCACATGGAACGCCCAGCATGTGGGCTTCTCCCTCCCTGTCATCAGCGAGTGCTTGCGTTTAGAGGCAGGTGACTCAGGGGCTGACATGAGGAAGAAGCCCCATCCCAGGCTTTATGTTCTGTCTGAAGCGAGGCAATTTCTCAGCACCTGATCATCCCCAAAAGGTGGTTCTGCTTTGCAGAGTCATAAGAGCAAAAGTGCTTCTGGTCACCCCATGGATTTTTGGAAGGAAACCAAAGGGCATCTTCCACCAGTTCACTTTCAAATGGGAATATTCACCACCAGGAAACTGTTCTATTTGCACTTAAAATTAATGAGGTAAGAACCCAGGTAAAAGCATCCTGAGGTAATGGTGCATATGAACAGCCTGTGCATTATTAATCGCACTCTTTATTTCACTCTTCTAGAAAAAAATCTATTTGCTGCATTGACCTTTCCTGGGAATAATCAGGCATCAGCGCTGCACAGGCCTTCCTGGCTCTAGAGGGGTTTGATCACTTTCCATTCTGGTGTCAGAGCACCATTGGGAGAGTGACCAACCACCCCAGAAATCACCACTCTGGTATCCCCGAAAGCAGCACCTCCCCATAGCCATGGTTATCAGCACTGGGGAGAGCATACAGCAGGGTCTTGCTTTTCTTGTGTTTCAGCCACCAAACTGCTTTATATTTAGCAAATTAAAGAGGTCAGTGACAACAGCCCGTAAAACGGACCTCCTCCAATAGTAACACTGCTTTTCTCATGAGCTTTTAAATGTCCTTAAACACAAATCTATCAGTCTCCAGATCAGTCCCAGCTCCTCCTCCTCCTCCAGAAGCCACGGTGCCCAAGAAGGGAACGGATGGCCATAGCGGAGGAATGTGAGCACATGTCCATGAACACATCTGACCTCAGAATCCCAGCTGAGGAGCAGGACGGCAATCTGCATGACTCACCTGCACCTCCCCAATCAGTGGGTTTGCGGACTTACCTTCTGTCTTCCAGTTCAGTGTCTCTTCTGCCTCTTTCAGCCTGGAGTCAATATCCTGCAGTTGCCTCTGTACCAGAGGGTATTCCACCTCGAGGACTGTCCTCAGGATCTTATTGTACGCATTTACCATCAGCTCCAAGTTAGCCACCAGCTGCCGGTACGACTCCTTGGAGGAGTAGATTTCTGCTGCTGTCTTGGGGATGCTCTCCACCTGGTTTGCCTCCAGATAACTCACTTCCCTGAGCACTGAAATCAGCTAGAAAACAACCAGTGAAGATAGACTCATTGTGATGGGGTGGCCACCCCTACACAGGGCCTGAAGGGGTTAAGGTGGCCAGGTGGGCCAATTAACTGCCCAGGCTGCACTTGGAGGAGGAGCCAGGGAGCAGGGATTGATTAAATGAGGCTCAGCTAGACAGAAAGCGGAGGGACCTATATAAAGCCCAGGAGCTGAGGGCAGCAGGAGGCTGCAGAGTAGTCTGGAGTCACTCACTGGGAGAAGGGAGATGTATTTGGAGCAATAGAGGCAAGTAGCCTACAGTTCTCCTGGGAGGAGGCAGTTGTGTGACTGGCAAACTCAGAGAAGGGGAAAGAGCCAGAAGTTATGGCAAGGCTCAGGGAAAAGCCAGTAAGGGCCAGGATAGAACAGACTTTTGCTGCTGACTAGAGAGCCCCTGAGCTGGAACCTGGAGTAGAGGGCGGGCCCTGGTTCCCCTGCCAGCCACTGGGGAAGTGGTGCAGACCAGACAGTGGAGAGCGGACTGCCTGGGACAGTTTGCCCAGGACGACTTTGATACCCCAGAAGGGGAGGACCATAGTGACCTGGCCAGTGGACTGAGTAACGAAGAAGAAGTTGCAGCTCCTGGAGCGAAAGGGGCCACAGGGCGAGACAGGACAGGTGAATAGACTGCCAGAGGGGGTGCAGCACCTGGAAAAAATTAATCCCCCGAGCAGCCAGGAGGAGGTACCCTAGTGGTGAGTGGACTCCATGGATTCATTGTTTCTTCTGATGACACCTACAGAACTGCAGTCCGGGGACTCACCTTCTCTCTGTTAGCTGCCACTTTTCTAATTCTGAACATTTTATAGTTTTCAAAAGCAATAATTTTGAGGTGGCTTTTTACTTATAGGGGAGCTCTTATCTGACAAGTGACTCACAAGGCACCATGCTGAATGTCTCCCACGAATCTCTATACCAATGTGCTTCGAGAACAAGTAGAAAGATGTTTTTTCTAGCTGCCATCCCAGCAAATTCCTTGCAGCCCCTGAAAGCTGTGCTGGGCTTTTTCCTTCTCAAACATCAAGCCGGTGACATCTGTGCAACCTTCTCACCTTCAGAGAATTTGTACAGGTGTAACTCACTGGAACTTAGCAAACAATTTTCTTGATGATGCACAAAAAGGAATGGACTCGCGCTCCCCCCTTTGGGCTCTGTGGGCTCTGTGATGCTAATGGGAATATCAGAAAACCAATGATAAAAACTGAGTTTTTTTACCAGCAGATACAACTGTGAATGTACGGAGGGAGCAGAACCAAAAATCTCTGCTTAGCCACATGGCCAGATTCAACAAAAACTCAGCCCTCCCTGTAAACAAAATCCTCTTTCCCCTACCCCCAACTAAAAATACATCAAAGCCAGAGCCCCTTTTTGTGCTTCATGGACCCTGCCTGGATTTTCTGTTGAATCCATCCCCAAGGATATATCCTGTTTTGTACCACTGAAGAAACAGGTCACCCTAACATAGGGACAGTGAGTTCTTACAGTATGAAGCATGCAGGCTCCAAAACAGCTGAATTAGGATTTGTGTGTGAGGTACACAGGAATTTCCACTGGAAGGTTTCACTCTGAATGTGATATTTAACAGGAGACATGGCCCAGGAGGAGGAGAGTAAATCCAAGTTGTCTGTCAAGGAATATGCTGCATGGTGCTGGGAATGCACTTTTAGCAGAGCGGGTCCAACACATTTTCTTGAACTGTCTTGAGCCCAGGGTAGCCCCAGTGAAATACAGTCATGTGACAGGGTGCAATGTGCATATCAAGGAAGAGTCTTGCAGTGAGATTAATTAACTTCATATTTTACCTGTGGATCAAAATTGACTGCGATCAGCTTGGTCTCTGGATCTCGTCTGATAACTGGCTGGGTGAGGTTGTACTGTGATTTTTCGGACACTGTCTGGGACCAATCCTTATAGAGCTTCTCCTGATACCTGACAGAGACAACATTCATCAGGCATCTGCCAGCCAGCCAAAGAGGCAGGTCTGAATGAACGATAAATCTACTTCACAACTCAGAAATATGAATGCATTTTAAGAACAAAATATCCCACAGCATCTCCACAAAGACCAAACCCGCAAATACATGCACGAGGAAACTGGGGAAAATGCAAATCAGAAAGTCAAAGATTTCAGGTAAGATTTTCAAAAGCACCTGAGTGATTTAGGAGACTAAGTCTCATTTTCAAAAGTGCCTCAGCACCAGATTTTCAAAGCTGCAGTCGGTGCCTGGTGGGATTTTCAAAAATGCCTAAGGATGTTGGGTGTTTAACTACAATCGATGTCACTATTGACAATCCCACTAGGTGCCTATCTGCAACTTTAGGCACCTAATACCTGTGCAAATCTGGCTCTGGGGCACTTAGGAGCCTATGGGTATGTCTACACTTTGAGCTGGGGGTATAATTCCCAGCTCAAGTAGACTTACATGCACTAGTTCTGAATGAGCAAAAACAGCAGAGTAGCCACGACGATGTGAATGGTGGGATGAGCTAGCCTCCCTGAGTACAATCCCATCAGAAGCGCTAGGTAGGCATGCACATGGCTAGCCCCTCCCACCTAGGATGACCAGATGTCCCGATTTTATAGGGACAGTCCCAATTTTGGGGTCTTTTTCTTATATAGGCTCCTATTACCCCCCACCCCCTGTGCCGATTTTTCACATTTGCTGTCTGGTCACCCTACTCCCACCACTCGCGCAGCCATGGCTACACTCCTATTTTAGCATGTGCCGGTATGTCTCCTTGAGCTGGGAATCACATCCCCAGCTCAAAGTGTAGCCATACTCTACGTTTCTTTGAAACCAATGGGACTTAGGCTCCTAAACATTTAAGTTGCTTTTGAAATAGGGACTTGGGATCCTGGACTGTTTTGAGAGTTCTATCCCACATCATGACAGCTGGCATCGTTGAACCATTATTTGAACATTTCTAGCACCTCAGCAATTAGGAGTAGGACACTGAAATCTGGCAGGCAGGTAGTCCTGAAGCCAGACAGCTGCTTTTCACGGTCCCCATGAAACTCTATCTAGATTATGCCAAATTATATGCCATACAGTCTCATCATTTGTGTATGTGCAGTTTGCACACCTACTGAAAGTTTATAGAAGCACTTCAGCTTCTGCTAGGCTGTACTGCACATGCTCTCTGGCCCCAAGGAGACTCCTGCAGCATTCCCAAGACATCAAAGGGAGGCTGTAATTCTAAAGTTTCTTCCTCCTCCTTTCACCACCAAACCAAGGTTTGGCCTAGAAGCTTGGAGCATGGTGGGTGGCACCTTGATGGAATGAGCGTTCCACCAGTGAGAACTTCTTAATTTGGCCAAGGCTGGAGTCTCAGTTAATTGCATTGCCAATTAACACATTTTTAAATGGTGAAATTTCACCCCAGTAACAAACAGCAAATCTTCATATACTTGCCCCACATGAAAAGTCACAATTTTTGCAGAAAAATAGCAGTTTTTTACCCATAATAGTTAAAATTAATTTGTGTGGGAATCACTCCACAACTGGGGCAAAACCACAAGGTATTTTGAGTTTTGGGAAGCTGGTAAGAGGATGTTTTTCCACATGGCTGAATTTCTAATCCTCAGTTATCTGGGAAGTTGCTATGCCTGTCCCATCTGTCTGGAAGGTAAACATGGCAGGTGTGCACACCTGGTTTTATTTGCACAATCCCAGGACTTGGGAATCTGTCACTAGCTAGACAATAATGCGTGAAGGACTGGGCCAGGCTAATGAGACATTGTGTGTGTTCAGTGTCTAAGGGCTGATCTACACTGGGGGGGGGGGGGGAAATTGATCTAAGATACGCAACTTCAGCTATGTGAATAGCGTAGCTGAAGTCGAAGTATCTTAGATCGATTTACCTGGGGTCCAACGGCGCGGGATCGACGGCCGTGGCTCCCCTGTCGACTCCGCTACCGCCGCTCGCTCCGGTGGAGTTCCGGAATCGACGGGGAGCACGTTCGGGGATCGATATATCGCGTCTTAACGATAAATCGATCGCTACCCGCTGGTATGGCGGGTAGTCTGGACGTACCCTAAGAGGAGAACGTAATGTCTGCTACCTGTACACTGGAGTGGACTCAACAGTGCTACCATGGCAGAGCTGTGATGGGAAACATTGTCAAGAGATCCACACTCACTGCATCCGTTCTGAAGGGTCTTATTGGGATTCTTCACTACATTGATTTCATGTTGTAATTAAAACATCTACCTTTTTCATCATCCATTTAGGAGCCAGCTCTTCTAATAAGTCTGTATCAGGAGAGATCCTCCAAGGAGGCTAGCCCTGTATTTCCCATTAGCTGATTAACATCAGAAAGCGATTCTGTGATACACACGTGCCAAGTGAAAACCTCCGGAAAACAAGCCAATGCAGAGCAAAACAATACAATGCTTCTAATCACAGAAAAACAAAACCAAAGGCATCAGATTTAGAGATTATATGTGCTTAATGCAAGCTATAAAGTAAGACATTGGCTGGAAGCTAGGGCTCTGCTCCAACGCCCACTGGAGTCAACAGGAGCCTTTGGATACCCCTGTGATGTGCAGCTGCATCAACCCCTTATATAAGATCGGGCTAAGTGAACAGACTTACCTTTCTAGTAGCTGTACCATGTCTTTGTACTTCTGTATCATTCTTTTTCCTTCAGGGGACTCCAGGCAGCTATCAGTGGAACAGAGGCAGTGTTACACAATGGATGGAAACTGTAGATTACCTCCTTGTTTCAAAACACATTTTTTAAGAGCATTTCATGCCATGGGCAGGTGCCATTTTACCAATCCTAGAGTTTTAGATTCTATACCTGTGCCTTCAGTTAAGATTAAATCTGAATGTATTTGCACTCTTCAGGGCAGGGACTGTCTTTGTTCTGCATAACGGGGCCCTGGTCTATGACAGGGGTCTCTAGGTGCTACAGTAATACAAATAATAATCACAGAAGATTTATCTGCCTTCTCTTAAATGTTTTTATACAGCTAACAGCTCAGGTTTAAGTGCAAGACCCGTGCCAATCTTAATGTAAGGTTCATCACTTTTTTTTTTGTTTGCTACTTTCTTTGTTTTTTAAAAATACCCCACGTGGCCAATATGACACTTGGGAGTTCCCTGTGGCTCCCAGCACTGCAATTCTGCAATTCCCCCATTTCTCCGATTCTCCCCTTGGCCTCTACCTAGCCTTAGTGCAGCACTATTGAGCTCAGCAATTACCCTACCTCGCCGCAGATGCCAGTGCCTCATGGAGCTCATGAGTGCCACAGCTCCTTGGCTCTCCTGGCCTCCCTTTGCCCAGCAGAGCTGGACGGGTTGCAGGCTCTTCATGTCCCCAGCTTGGATTGCCCTGTGCAGTGTAGGACAGAGCTGCAGCATTCCCATTTTTTCATCTGCACTTTTGGTGGCTATGGGTTTTGCAGAGCACCCCCACAGCTGTTCTCTCTTTGTGATGCCTGGATCACTGTACCAACCAATGGCAGGTTTGGTACATAAGTCTTTACAGTTGGGACTTTTTAATTCACCTTTGTCCATGTTTTAGTCTTATTTAAATCCATGTAGAGTTTGAAAATCAAGATATTTTGTTAAACTAGAGAGAACCAAAAAAGTAAAATACTGAGTAAAATGTCCCAAGTGTCAGATTGAAGCATTGATGGCTTGCAAATGGCCTTCAGACTTTAAAAAAAACATTGATTGTACCCTGGATGTAAACCCCAACCTCAACTCCTCAGCAGTCAGGAGAGGGGAGAAAACAGAGCTCAGGAGCAGCTGCTTGGGTCCTGACTCTCCCTTTTGGACTGGGGGGGGAGCAGGTGGGGGGCTGGGCAAAGCTGAGACTGAGAGGACTGCGTAGGGGGCTCTCAGGAATGCATGTAATTGAGGAGAGCAGGTTGACCTGTGATAGAGCCCCTGTTCCAAGCTGTCAGGACTGTGGCCGCTAGAGCACTGT